GATGAGACATAGAAAAAGCTAGAACACTAACCATACATGTGGCATTACGATGCTTAAAAACTGATTTTAGTTAAATTAGAAATATCTTGTTCAGATAAAAATTCAATTTGATATATTATATATATATATAGAGAGAGAGAGAGAGACAGAGACAGAGGAAGAGAATACTAAGAACAAGTCATCAACTCATTAATCTCATCTCTGTTTATACTTTCAGAGCATCATCGTGTGTTTTTAAATGAAGTTCTATGTTAAGATCAGTGAATACTTAGCACAGTAAATTAAAATTTGCCATTTTACATCACTTAATCTATAATATACTGTATCTGAAGAAGAGCTTATGTCAGTGAGTCCAATTTACACTCAATAGGAGCACACATAAATTCCAAGGTTTATTTATGTTGAACTACTGTAAAAAGTTGGATCAGCACATTCTTGGAATTGTTCAACAGTCTAAGTTTATACCTGTCTTTGGATTATATAAAACAACTTCAATGTCCATTCTGCAATGAAAATTGCAGTTGTCTAAAAAAATGAAGTAGAACAGATCGAATCTTTCATCTACCACATTTAAAACTGTTATGTCTTTAGCAACGTAGGTACTATTCAAATAGAAAAACCCATATGGCTCATCTCGCTGAAATGGATGACACACATACCTCAACATTATCTTGGAAATAGAAGGACATTTTGAAAGATGCTTGACATCAACATCTTTCCTTTTGGCAAAAACCTCATCATCTTCCCTGGAATATTGCCAGAAAGCATCTTAACTTGGACTAGAAAACTACTCTTCAGAGCTTAATCATTTCCCACCTCAACTATTAAAATTAAACTCTTCATAAATCTTATCTTCAGTACACTCAGTGGGTGGAGATGGTTCAGCCAAATCATTTCCTCCCCTAACCTTGTCTTATGTACTCTGACTTTCCATACATCCAGACACATTTCAGAAATTGTTACTTTAGTCATTCCTCTCCATCTCTGACAGGTTTTAAGCTCTCCTAAGAGCACTTGTTCTCCAAACCACCTACTTAGTATCCACTTGTCTTGTAACTTTGACTTGTCTATCTCCCGTGATCAATTTCTGAGTTTCAACTGTGATTTGGCTTGAACTACTTTCCAAACTCTTTCCCATTACAGATAAGTACTTTTTTTTTGTATTTCACCTCAATCATATTTCCTTGCATATTTATAGTTAACTTCAGATAAAATGTTTGGTCCACTGAAAGGTGCTATCTGACATTCTACTGTATTTGCATACTTATTTTCCTGAAATGTAAAAGTTTTATATTTAAAAATATGAAGGAAAAACTTACTGACCGACACATTAATAGCACTCTTGTATTAAAATGTAATTGTTTGGTAATGCTCTAGTAGGAAGAAAAAGAAATGAATGTCTCAGATTAATTTTTAATTAGTTAATTAACATTTGCACGGAACAATCTCAGCCTAAATAAGTCTAATGCTTTGAAAATACTGACAGTTTTCAAAGGTTGGATATTGTTTACTCTGAAGTATCTGGGCACCATAGGAATCTGATAGCTCACTGAACTGGAAATCCAATCTACGCTTAATGTTAGTCTCAACTCAGATGAATTCATTTAGTAGCAGATAGTATTTACTAAGAATTTATAAAGTGTTGGGAAATGTGCCACATTCATTACACATATTATTTCATTTAATTTTGGAAACATTATCATTCTTATCCTTCATTTTATAAGTAAAGATGTTGAGGCTTACAGAGATTCAGTAACTTTCCTAAAGTCACACAGCTAAAAGTAATAGAGTAGGAATATAAATTCACATATGGCTCCAAAGCCATAGTGGTCATATTTACACTGGCAAAAAGTCACCCTAAAGTACCCCAGCTTCCAAATGAGAGTGAGAGTGCACTTTGAATTCCACTGAGCATTTCTTTTACTGTAATGCTGTAGTGAATAACAGAATAGCTGTTACATATCAGTTGTGATAACAGATCAGTGAGAAGTCTCAAACAGTCTGGGGGTATTTTTCCCACTGAGCTTTCTTAAATAGTTCTCTAAAGAAATTCTGACTCCATAATCAAGTACACTACAGTGATATTAACTTGGTAAAAGGGGAAATTATATAGAGATAAGAGTATTTTCTGAGAGTCTTATTCATAAAGACTTAAATCTCTATTATTAAGCGGAGGGTATGCGGTTAAGTTGGCCATTTATAAACTCATCTCTTATATGGACCTGCTTTTATACAAAATACTGTTGAAGGCTTCTGGAAGCACAGGCTTCACAAGGAGCCAATAGCTTTTCTAGAGAAATCTCTTGAGTTCAGATTGGATGCTGCCTGAACTGCTGAGCCAGAGATATGAAGTTTGAATTTTATAACATACCTATTTAGATAGTCAAACAGAATTTACCTAAAATTTACCTCCACATGAGAAAACATGATGTACAAAAATTTTTCCTAAAGCACTCTTTGTGGTAGCAGATGACTAGAAACACAATTATCAAGCAGGGCATAAACATATGCAGGGACAGAAAAAGGGCTTTTCCTTGTGTTTCCTATGTACTCTCTGAAAGTAACACTTGAAGTTATTCCACCACCTACAACACAGCTGTATCAGGAATTAAACTGAAAGTTGCTTACCCTGACCGATGAGGCCCTTCATCATTCTATCCTCCTGCCTTTTCAACCTTATCTCCCAAGCTTGCCATGCCTCAGTCCTTACCCTTCCTCCTATTTCTCAAACACAAAATCCATTCCTACTGACATCTTTGGCACTTGCTGTTCTTTGCCTTTCCCCAGCCAGTTGCAGAGGTGTGAACACAGATGTCACTTTTCCACAAGTCTCAAATAATTTAGGGGCCACCTATTACCAACTCTGAGCAAATTGTTTTCTATAGCAAAGTTTGCAATAGTAAGTTTATTTGCAATTATTTTTAAAGATATGTCTCTCCCACCACTGAATTCAGGGAAAAAAGAGATCACCGATATATTTTTCACCAATATTTATGTCATTGGAATATAGCTGGTGCTCTGTAAGTGCTTATCAAATAAAGTAGTTAATCCAAACCTCACAATAAATGGTTTATAAAGAATGACAAACCTTCAAGAATAACATATTTTTAAGTTTCAAAGTCACTTAATACAGGATGATACATGTTTCCAATAAAAATAGTAATTTGGGGGGGTCTATTTTTTGGGGGTCAAAAATGACTAGTTTAGAATACTTTTGAAAGAATTCATCTACTTCAAATTACTGCCTCACTAGCTTAGAAATTTCAATTTAAAACAACTGAATATAAACTCTTAAAAGTAAATAATCTCTATGACCTAATATTTATAAATTGCATATATGATTACCTAATCTTTATGTTTAAAAAGCACACTGAAAGATGTAAAAAACTACAAGCCAGGTATCAAAGCCTTTCATTCTATTCAACACCTGATAGATGTTAGCTCAAAGAAGGGTTTCTTAATTTTAATGGCCAAGATAAAAAATTTAGAAATCCAACCACTTGCTGGTAGTACATATCATCTTAGAAGGGAACTTTTTTTGGAAGTCTTTATCAAAGACTTGAAAATGTTCCCAATACTACCATGGACAGACTGATGTGTAAGAGAAGGAAAAAGAAAAATCAAAGCAAAATAAACCAAAATCTTAAAAACCAGGTGCTAACCTGAAAATATTTAATATATGTAATCTCTTCAGATACAAAATTATTAAAGATACTACATGAAGTCACTTCTTTAATCTTTGTTTGCTATAGAAAACCTGTCATCTTGAATGCAGATATTGTCAAATGTAATCCTGTTTTCTCAAGTTTGACACAGAAGAATTTAGGCAAACTTCTTCTTTCTAGCAAAGGTTATTATTTTCTAGGTGTATTTATCAGATGCTCCATCTCAGGCCCAGCTGTGTCAGGTACTGAATCATATTCTTCTTCGTATTGAAATTCATGCCCATAAATAGGTACCAGTGACAATCTACTTCAGTTTTACAGAGAAGGACAAATGAAGGCAAATAAAGAACAGGAAAGTTCCACATACATAAAACCTTGTTATGACAGTTTCAAATATTATGTTCACATTTTCAATGACAAGAGGCTATACAATGCTTAATATAAAGTGCCATCTCTCAAGATGAATTTGTGAAGATGTTTTATGTTACACAGCATCTGAAAACCGAGTAAGGGAAAAAAGGATACCTAAATGAGAAGAGAGATATTAAATATGACCAGAAAACTAGTGAAGAAATGAGGAAAGAAAAATGCATAATAGATTTTCAGAAGTAATTAATTTGGCTGGTCATAAAACGAGCATTTAGCAAGAAGATTGATTTCATCCTCAAAGTTTACTCAAATTTATGAAGGGAAAGGAAGAGAAGGCAAAACTATATACATTCCCATTCACTTGACACAACCAAACAAAGACCATGTGGCCAGAAAGCCCCAAAGATACTCAGTATTTTCCATGGAATTTATCATAAACATGAAGCTCTCTCTACATTATTTACCCTTGACAGGTGATAAAGACAGCAAGAATCTGGCATGTGCAGTTCAAAGTAATCAGCACAAGAGGACTGCTGAATACGAAATAGTTGTTACTGTGATCTACAAGGCTTTGCAGGATTTGAACCCCATCGCCTCTCTAACCTCATCTACTACTAGTCTCCCCTCACCCTTACTTCATCCCCACTGCTCTCTCTGCAGCTCTCAAGTCTGGAATGCCCATCCTCCAGATGTCTATGTAGCTTGCTCTCCCCCTTTCATCAGCTTTGACTCAAATGCTCCGCTTTTACCGAACCTTCCCTGGACACTTGATGACTTCAACCTCCACCCCTCCCCCAAATTGCTATCTTCTTCCCTTAGGCTTCCTATTTTCATGCCATTCAACATAATACATATTTTACTTATTTATCCAACATATTTCTTCCCTCACTAGAATGTAAGCTTCATGAGAAGAGGATTTGGGCTTTTTGTGGAGTCTTTCGGTCTGTTTTCTTCACCGTTGAATACCCAGTGCCTGGCATACATACTAGGCATGCAGTAACCGGCTGTTGAGCATGAGTGAATAACCTAACAAAGTTTAGATTTAAATGAGTAGCTATGAACAGAGTGATACACCTTCTCAAATATTAAAGCATAAGTTTTTCACTTCTTCCACAAATTTAAGAACAGTCCAGTGTTTGTCTGGCTATCATTTCTGAATACAAAGAATAACACGACTAGAAAGGGATAAAATTGACAAACTACAGTAAGAAGACAGCAGTGCACTATCTTTGGCTAATGCTGACAAGAGGCATTTGTTTGCTTTCTACATAAAAGAGTTTGATATTTACAGTACTTCAGTGAAAGTAGAAAAAAAACTCAAACATTTACTTTTCAACTTTCATCGTAAATAAAGTATTTTTTTAAGAACTTTGATTCAACCAATTTTCAGTTGTCTTTTAACCTTGGAAAAACAGTTTGTGCTCTTCATTGTTTTAATAACTGTTTTCCTTATAACCCTGATAATAGGAAAAAAATCTCATACTAATAGCGTTTAGGTTCATATTCATTAGGTAAATTATAGGGGAAAACCTATTTATTTGTAAACACGAGACATTATATGTAAATTTTCATTTTTATTTCAGTTGAATTCTCCAGTTTTATTAGTCCTGTTCGTACTTCTAACGTTTGCATCAAATATAAGTAGGCTTTTACTCTGGAAAACAGTATGGAGGTTCCTCAAAAAGTCGAAAATAGAGCTACCGTACGACCCAGCAACGCACTACTGGGTATTTATTTACCCTAAAGATACAAATGTAGTGATCCAAAGAGGTACGTGCACCCCGATGTTTAGAGCAGCAATGTCCACAATAGCCAAACTATGGAAAGAGCCAAGATGTCCATCGACAGATGAATGGATAAAGAAGATGTGGTATATATATACAACGGATATCATGCAGCCATCAAAAAACCCCCGAAATCTTGCCATTTGCAACGACGTGGATGGAACTAGAGGGTGTTATGCTGAGTGAAATAAGTCAATCAGAGAAAGACATGTATCATATGAACTCACTGATATGAGGAATTCTTAATCTAGGAAAAAAAGGGGGGGGTGGGGGGGGGGGGGGGGGGTGGGAGCGAGGGGGTGGCTGGGTGATAGACATCGGGGAGGGTATGTGCTATGGTGAGCGTTGTGAATTGTGTAAGACTGATGAATCATAGACCTGTACCTCTGAAACAAATAATACATTATATGTTGAAAAAAGAAAAAAAGAAGATAGTAGGAAGGGGAAAATGAAGGGGGGAGAAATCGGAGGGGGAGAAGAACCATGAGAGACTATGGACTCTGAGAAACATACTGAGGGCTTTAGAAGGGAGGGTGTAGGGGGATGGGTATTAAGGAGGGCATGTATTGCATGGAGCACTGGGATTCATTGTTATACACAAACAATGAATCATGGAACACTACATCAAAAAGTAATGATGTAATGTATGGTGACTAACATAATAAAATAAAATTAATAAAAAAATTTAAAAAATATAAGTAGGCTTTTGACATTAAAGCAAATTTTCTTTCTTTTATTAAGATTTCACTGATTTATTTGAGAGAGAAAAAGAGCAAGAGCAGGGGGAGGGGCAGAGAAAGAGGGGGAAACAGAATTCCCGTATACAGAGCTCAAACCCAGGATCCCTGGGATCCTGACCTGAGTGAAAGGCAGACGCTTAACCGACTGAGTTACCCAGGCGCCCAAATTTTCTTAACATATTACTTTGAATTTTACTGAGACTTTTAATACAGTACCATGTATAGTAACAAAAGCTTAAAAATGATTAAAAAAAAAGTTAAAACTAATCAGTACCTTAAAGAACTGTTTATCCATGTGGAAGAAGGCATACGTATTCATTTCTACTACACTTCCCTTTCCATCATTAAGGAACTTTAATTACCATATAGTCACTTTAAAAACCCAATCTAGACAATATAGTTCAGAACATGCTTTGTCCTGCTCACCAGGCAATCTGCCTCCTTGCAAGAGGTACTTATAGGTATCAGTGCCATCAGATGCTTAGAACACAAAAAGCATATGAGTAATATTGCTCAGATATACACAGTGAATCTATGGCTCAAATGTACCATGAAAACTTGTTATAACATAGCTTCCTTTTGCTCATTTCACTGATGAAAAGAAAAATCTGTACCCTTCTTTAGAGTCACTGAAGCCAAAAGGTAATATAGTAGTAAGAGTTATTTTATTTTAGGTTTTATTTCTCATATCCTCCTTGTGGGTTCATGTTTTTAACATTCGGCTTCACCTCAGGAAAAGAGTATCCACTACTAGAAGCAAGTGATATACTTGAAAAACAACAGGAAAATGCCAATACCATCTGTGTGGTTATTAATTTAGGTCACGCATAAATAAAGTAACTAATTTCAAAGGATGTTAGTGCTTTTAGCATCTGAAGAAATGGCCAGTTTAAACTATTCCATCTGCATTTGCTTTGGGATATTAGGCAGCAAATGAAACACAGGGGCAAACCAACCTATCATTTGGCTGGGAAAGAAATATCAATTTAAAGATGTTATCTTTTCAAAATGTTTTGGCAGTGTTTTAAGTTATATCAAACTATTATCTATAATATAAAATGGCAACAGAGCATTTATTTTTTCATTAATGTAATATGCTTGAATTATAAAATAAATGCCTAAGTTCAGATACAGTTAACATTTAAAAGTTACTCATTCTTCCAAACTGAAATTTGCAATGACTAATTATTACACTCAGACACATACCAAAGTTATTTTAAAAGAGTATTTTGTTAACATCTCCAAACATAAGTCCATAAAATTAGGTTCTTCTGTGGTAATTTTTGTTCATTTTTATTAAAAAAATTCAGCCACTGAGTTGACATCTTATAATTTTTAGTAAAAAAAATATTAATTTGAGAGTTACATGTTGTACCTTCCCTTCAGCTCAAAACTGCCTGCTGTGAAGTGATACTGTTATACAACTGGCCGTGGGCTAGATGTATGTAAGACAGAGTACCAGCTCAGATTTTGAGGGCTCTCTTTTAATGGATGTCAGGAGCCATTTTCCTTAACCATTTTTGGGCACAATTTACCCTTGCTACATTTATGATGAGTGAAAGAAACAAATGCCAGTCAAGTATCCAGAACCTTTGTTCCCAAGGAAGCAGGAGCTCTCATTTCCAGTGACTACCATAAGAACCTTCCATAGCTGTGGTGTCATGTAACTGAAATTGGTTCTATTAAAATCACATACAGATAGGGGCACCTGGGTGATTCAGTTGGTTAAACATTAGGCTCAGTTTCAGCTGGGGTCATGATCTCCAGGGTGCTGAGATGGAGCCCTGTGGGGGACTCCGCGCTCAGCGGGGAGTCTGCTTGAGGATTTCTCTCCCTCTGCCTCCCCCCCGTCACATGCATGCTCTCTCTCAAATAAATAAAAAAATAAAACAAAACCACTATATAAAATGTCATCATGAATCAGAGGGGTAAAAAATTTATTTTCTAGAATTTAACATCCCAGCAAAAATTAGTGGAATTACTCATAGAAATTATCAACTGAAATCATTTTATTTTGGGGGATGCCTGGGTGGCTCAGTCATTAAGTGTCTGCCTTCGGCTCAGGTCATGATCCCAGGGTCCTGGGATGGAGCCCCTCACTGGGCTCCCTGCTCTGCAGGAAGCCTGCTTCTCTCTCTCCGCTCCCCCTGCTTCTGTTCCCTCTCTCGCTGTGTCTCTCTGTCAAATAAATGAATAAAATCTTTAAAAATAAATAAAAGTATTGAAATTTTATTTTTAAAGATTTTATTTATTTGAGAGCAAGAAAACATGAGTTGGGGGGGGCAGAGGGAGATGGAGTGGGAGAAGCAGGCTCCCCACTGAGCAGGGAGCAGGATGCTGGATGCTCTATGTTCAATCCCAGGACCCTGAGATCATGACCAGAGCTGATGTTTAACCAACTGAGCCACCCAGGCACCCCTCCATTTATTTTAGAGAGAGAAGGGGAGAGAGAAAGAGCGCACACAAGTGAACAGAGGGAGGGACAGGAAGAGGGAGAAAGAATCTGGAGCAGACCCTGAGACCACAACCCCAGCTAAAACCAAGAGTCAGTTGCCCAAAGGAGCCAGCTACCCAAGCGCCCCACAAATGAATTTAAAGAAAAGAAATTCTGATGAAAATATTTCAACTGAGAGGTTAAAAATATGAGACAAAAAAAATCATGTTGAGATTTCTACGTCAAAAATCTCTAGACCATATAAACTATATGAGCTCAATTTTTTTTAAAGATTTTATTTATTTCAGAGAGAGACAGACAGAGTGCATGAGGTGGGGGGGCGGGGGGTGTGCAGAGGGAGAAGCAGAATCCCTTCTGAGCAGACAGTCCAATACGGGGGTTCCATCCCAGAACCCTGGGATCATGACCTGAGCTGAAGGCAGACACTTAACCAACTGAGCTACCCAGGCACCCCTATGAGCTCATTTTTAAAAAAAAAACAGGTTGTAGAGGGGAGATATATTTTGATGCTCTCTAAAACCTGGAAAAAAAATTCTTTAATAATTCTGAAAGTTTCAAATCCCATAAGTCATTTTAAAATTAAGATAAATTTGAAGACTGCCAAAGGGCAGCATCTGTGTGAGCTAAGGCATGTACCAGATAACTTAACATTCGATACCAGAAAGTTCTGAATTCAGAGAGAATATCCAGATCAGAAAGAAGGGGGCAATTACAAGTCTCTAGTGAAAGGAAGTGGAGACCAACATTTTTTAAGTCTTACTAAAATTAATCCCCTCTACTCAGGATCTGCAGAAACATTGTTACACTTAGAGGTTAAGGTGCTTGGTCTTCTCTTCATCCAGGAATTGGTGGCAGCCCTAATTGAATCACATATATGAAAATAAAGGACAACTGCCTGGACCATAAATATTAAGTTATGCTTGTCACTTAAAAAAAATTCTCTCACAATTTCCTTCAGTTTTTTTAAAAAGCTTCATTTATTTTTAGAGAGAAGAGAGAGAGAGAGAGAGAGAGAGAGAGAGAGAGTGAGAGAGAGAGTGTGTGTGTCTGTGTGTGTGAGTGCGGAGGGGCAGAGGGCAAGGGAGAGAATCCCAAGCAGACTCCCTGCTGAGCACAGTGCCCTGTGCAGGGCTGGATCAAATACGACCCTGAGATCATGACCTGGGCCAAAATCAAGAGTCGGGTGCTTAACTGACTGAGGCACCCAGGAGCCCCTCATTTCAATTTCTAAGTAATAAACATGTTTTTAAAATAAAATGGAGTGGTACCTTTTATTTTTTAGCAGATGAGAACTTTTTGTTTTTATTTTTAGTTTTTCCTAGTGCCATTTAGAATTGCCTTTTGTTTGATTTTACTTATCCAGCAACCCATGAGCCAGCAAGTAAATAAAGTATTTGTAATTCAAAAGACGATTCAAATGAAGACAGGATGATCTTGGAGTATTCACTCTAAACTTGAATCCTCAAATGCTTCTAATCTCTTTAAACATTACTCTGGTTCAAGTATATTTCGGATTTATGATTTGAAAGGGCTCAGTTATCTGACGAGAACAGGAGCATATTAAGTCTCTGCATAATACAGTTTTGAAATGGCATGCACATTAGACACTAAGCAGTTATTAAACCTTGCTTTTAACCTACCAGTTTTCTAAATCTTCCCTCCACAGCTTGATTCCCAGTAGAGAAAAAAAGTAACTCAAACAAAAATTTTCCTGTTTACTGCAATAAGCTATTTAACTTATCTGTGCACAGGCTGAGAAATTATGGAACAGGGATTAATGTATTTGCCCATAGGGACCTTGCATAGATGGTTAGCCTGAATTTTCATTTGTATTTTCAATTCATATTAGGATTACCTATTTTGACCCACTTATAAACTGAATGACATAACAAAATAGAGAGCACTATTTTCCTACTTGCTATTTAACTAATGCTGACAAGTTACTTTCAGCTCTTTGAACTTAATTTAGCTTATTTATAAATGAAGATAACAATTTGGTCTGCTAAAACAAATGAACTAATATTAAAGTACTTTGACAACTATAAAATATTATGTAAGTGTAAAAAATTATATATTATGCTACTTTTATATGAATGAAAACTAGCTGGTTATTTCCTCATCATGCCTTTTATAAAGAGATGAAAAAACAGAAAGATACTGTTTTGAAGTAGTCTGATAATTGAGATTTCAAACTTAAACACTTTCCTAACAATTAAAATAAAGTAATATAGGTTAGTGCTAAAATATACTTAATCTAGCCAATTGAGTTTTACACATTAAGGAAAGACTCTTAAAGGTTACATATAAAACATACAGAACAGTCACATATGCTGGTGGAAAGAGAAGAACTGAAAACAAATGTTATACTTCCCAATTTGTTCTCAGTCATTCCCAGCTAGAACATCTAGGGTTAAGAGTAGAGTTAGGGGTAGGAGCAAGGGCAGGTTTAGAGTCTGGGTTACAGTTTTGGCTAGATTACAGCAGGCATTTTAATCAATCACTTTTTTCTCTTAGCCAACTGGAAAATAATAAAATTTATGATGATGAGAACACAAAGTGGTCATGTGTGAAGTGCTATACCATATATAGAGATATAGAACGTGTATATACGTTTTTACATAAAATCACGGTTCATGATACCTTACAACAACCCTATTAATTTTACTTTACAGGCAAGAAAACTTAGGCACAGAAGAGTTAAGTAGATTG